CGTCAGAAGAGGGGAGGTCTTCGACTCTCTTGGCCTCGGGGGCGTCTTGTCTTGGGGCTTCTCCTCCTCGGGTGTATCTCTTCAGGTGGCTATCCTTGATCAAGATTTCGATCGCGTCCTTGAGGTGGATGCAGTCTTCTGTAACGTGCCCGTGGCTTCTATGGAAGCGACAAAACTTCGATTTGTCCACGTTGGGCTTGGGGGGTGTCGGCCTGGGGAAGCGGACACCTCCCTGGACAAACTCCGTTTTGGCGCATTCGGCTAGTATGCGGGAAGCGGGAAGCGACTAGGGACGTATACTCCGTGAACCGGCCAGTTGGGTCGCGCTGCTCGCGTTGTTCGCGGGGACGATCCTCCCGTCGGCGATCTCCTCCGCGCCGGTGGCTCGAGGCTCCGTCCTCACGGGGCCCGCGGGGGGTCTCTCGGTCTCGTGTATCCCGGGCGGAGTTGGCCGCTTGAGTCTCCTTGAATCGAATGTAATGCGCGGCTCTGTCGAGGAAGTTCTGTAGAGAGGTTGGTCGGTGTATGGCCACAGCTTCGTAGAACTTGGAGTCTCGGCGCAGGCCTTGCTCCATCAAGTAACGCTTCATCTCGTCTGACGTCGATACCTGTACTGTCTCCCGTGTGAACCTTTCGATGTACTTCCGGAGGGGCTCGTCGGGAGCCTGGATTATGGCGCCCAGCGCGGCTTCCGTCTTCGAATGGCGTCGGGATGCCGTGAAGTGTCTCGAAAAGAGGTCCTTCAAGGCCCTTCATGACGTGGCCGACTCCGGCTCCAGGCTCTTGTACCATGTCATGGCACCTTTCCTCAGTTTCGTCGGGAATAGTCTGCACTTGATAGCTCCCCGGACATTTCGGTAGTCGAGCATGGCCTCGATGTCTTCCAGGTGGTCGTCTGGGTCGGAGGTATCATCGTACGTCGAGAGCGTTGGGGTTTTTTCCATCCCGTGGGGGATGGGAGCAGCCATGATCTCTCGGGACAAGGGGGTCCTGTAGTCGTCCTCATCACTGAGAGTTGGTGATCGAGGGGGTGGTGGCCCATTTGGCGGAGGCGCCTGATTTCGTGCCCTCGGCCTCCTGACCGGGGTTCGACCCTCGGAAGAGCGAACCCAAGGAGCTCGTCGGCTCAGTAGACCTCGACAGCCGCTTCATTAACGAGTCCGACCGCGAAGACAAAGTCAGCGATCCCCTTCTGATCAAGTCAGATATGAGTTTATAAGGTATAAGGTATAAGTTCAAAATTGAAGCTTATAAAAAAGAGCCTAAGGGTCTGTTTGGTAAAAATAGCAGTTGACTGATAAGTTAGTTGATAGTTTATAACTTATAACTTATGACTGATGATTAATAGCTTATAGTTTATAGCTGATGGTTGAGACTGATATTTAATAAACTAATTGAAATATTTAATAAAATTAACGTTTCAACTAACTTATAAATATAAAATGACATAAAAGATATTTAATATATAATTATTTTATTTTAAATTAAAATAAATTTTAAATGACTAGTGTCCAAACGGACACGGATACCCGTTTGTCCACTTTTTAAAATACGGAGACGCATCAAAATATAGACAATGTTTTTTATTAAATGTTACTTTTAATTAATTTATCAAATCATAAATTTATTAAACATAAATTATGTGATGCATGTAAAATATAAACTAAACTAAATCAACTTTCAAACTAAAAATCAAAAGAAAATTAAACAAAACCGCATATATTATTAAATAAATTAATAATATATGCGGTTTTGTTTATTAGTGTATATTTTGATGAATTTTAGACCGCAAGTTTTACCGGTTCGATCACCGAACCAGTTTTTAAAACATTAATTAAAACAAATAAAAACATAGAATTGCAAAATGTGGTATAAATCATTAAAATCCATCAAATAATATATTGAATGAATAATTATAAACCCATAAACTACTCTTTCGTATACATAAGAGACATTTAATGTGGCCGTATCTTTTATAACAAAGAATAAAATATACACTAAAGACTGAGGGAAGAAGAAAAAAGAAAACTCAGGAGATTATCATTATGACTGCAAGATTTGGTACTCTCTCTTATCCATATGGAAGAGATCTCTTTTTTCTCATGTCCATAACTTAATAGAAAGAATAGACTTAATAGAAAGAATAGGAAGAAGTAAGAGAGAAATACGTAAACAACAAACCATGAAAATAAAGAAGAGAAAATGTTACAACATTATTATAATGAATTTGGAACAGATAATCTTTGCGTATTTCTTTTCAACACATAATTGTTGTTGTTTCTTTTTCCCTCTCTTCATTATAGCATTTTAGTGCAAATTTTTAATAGTTAAACTTTTATAGTTAACGATAATTATAAAGAATTTGTATTGAAATGACTATGACATGACATTTAATTCACTAACTTTTAATTTTCGAGAATTATATAGTTAACGTATGCTATTTATTTTGAAATATATAATATTAAAATAAAAACACTTTGAGCCCACATATAATATAAAATATAGGGTCAAGTTTTAGTTTTTTATAAATAACTATCATTAAAGTAAAAACAACTCAAATCAAATATAAATTTTTTAAATTCTACAAATCACTTTGGACCTACAAAATATATCTCAGTTTATCCACTTAACATACTCTAACTAAAAATGCTTTTATGATGATACCTACTAAGAGCTAACGCTTACGTTAGTAATAAAGAATTTGCATTATAGTAGAGCTGACATGGCATTTAGTGAACTAAAATTTAGTTTTAATTATCTATATAGTTAACGTTAACTATTCAATATGAAATATATTATAATATTATTTAATATTAATAAAATATTCCAACAGCATTAAATTAATGATAACTTGAATAAAATATATAAAATGTGGGGTCAAATCCCAGCGAAGGTAGTTTATATGTTAAATTGTTCAATGCTTTAGGCCTAGAAAAATATTTTAGTTTACCCATTTAGTTTAGTTCCATTAAAAATATTGTGTTAAAACAAATCCCAGCGAAAGTAGTTTATATGTTAAATTGTTCAATGCTCAACTTTCCACGTATAATTTTCAGTTTCTTTAAATAGTTATTTTTTAAGGGTTTTTATTATTTATAATTAAAATTAAAATAAACATAAATGGATAGTTATGCAAGGGACAATAGTGGAATAAAAGAGAGTCAGACCAAATAGTTGTATCCCTTTATATATATATATATATATATATATATATATATATATATATATATATATATATATATATATATATATATATATATATATATATATATATATATATATATATATATATATATATATATATATATATATGTGTGTGTGTGTGTGTGAATTTTTGTTAAAATAATGAGATAAAACCTATTTGAAATAACATAGAAAATAAATTATAAGCTAACAAAATAAGCTAAAAAGACCGTCTAAATTATTATATAAACTTATAAACTATAAGCTATAAATTCAAAATTGTGTTTTACCAACTAGAGCTTATATGCATTTTAATATCTTTATTTTTAATAATTTTATTAATAATTTTTTTTAATCTTTAATATAACAAATTTATTAGAATTAATATTATTTTTTTAATAAAAATAACAAGTAAAATAATAAAATATTTAATTTAAATATTAATTTTTGTTATACATTTTCTCACCCCACACCCTATTGAAATCGGGGTGAGTGGTCATTTGTTACCCTCAATTGGAGATGGGGCCGCGACAGAGGTGGCACAGGGGCGAGGGTGAGTTTGATAATACTTAAACCCAGGACGGGATTGATAATACTTAAACCCCCGCTGTCATGCTTATACCTACTCAAACAACAAGGTTTTATCCTGACATTGGTTACATAGATCAATTTACATATCATTAAGTTCTATTCAATATTATGTATCTATCCAATTAATTAATCTCAATCTTTATGAATAGTTTCTCATCTACTCTTTTTACAACAATTACTACAACAACAGAATATACATATATTTTCTGTATATCCAAACCACTAAGTTAGCCTTGTTATACAAAATCAGTCCCAAATTCCACTTAAAAGGAGAGGATTGAGTTAGATAATAATCAACAATCAATATAAAAATAGATGCAACCTTCCAAAATCAAAAATCAACTTCCACACAGTTATGTATTGGTTTTGTTTGAATTGTAAAATTCAAATGTTGTTGCTATATCAGGAGAATGTACACTTCATCATGTTTACAGTTGTATGAGATTCAGAGTCACTGAATGAGGTTACAATTCAAGGGCCATTGGAGAACATAGGCCCAACTACGTAACTACAAGTGTCGGTGTCGGTTTCAGACACCGACAACGACCCATTTTTTAGAGGTGTTGATGCTACCGAAAGCCCAACTAGGTAGAAAATACACCAGAACACTAACTCTTGATCAACTCCCTCAAATACAACACAGGATGAGGAAATTTTCTATCCTGGGTTTGTACTCAACTTTAAAGCTTCATTTGTATATTTTGGAACATGGAACAAGGAACAATTGAGGCGCAGTAGTAGGAAACTATCACACAGTTTTCTTCTCTTCTCAGTAGAAACATATAATAAACCAATGTTCGCATCAGAAACATATAATAAACCAATATTCTCATCAGAAACAAATACTAGTTGACGCACCAATGGAAAAACAGAGTTCGTGTTCGAGTGCATCTTAACTTATTTCATGTTCAGAGTAACTCGTTATCAAAATCCACCACAGATAACTTTAAAAAATGCAATTGAGAAAAATTATGCAAATTCAAACACGCTTTATCCAACATCTGTGCCATAAAACATGTCATTATAAACCGAGGCTGTGTAAAAGGCAATATTATGATCAAAGAAAATGAAACAAAATCCGCACATATGATGGCGATTCCATTCTATCAAAGTCTTTCCTTTCTCATTAGCACTAACAGTATTACAGCTTTACATCTAACATGTATAATGTAAAAATTGAGTGGTTCAAACTTCAAACTTCAAAATAACTTACTCTGATGATGATGCTACTTATATTTGTCCATTATTCTTTGAGCTTCTTCCACGGGATCATTCATAGGTTTTGTTGTAGTTCCTCCGTTCCCGCTAGATGGTCCTTGATCTTTATTGAATGCTAGGTATGCAAAGTATGCAAGTCCTACGGTAGCCTAAAATATAGCAATACCGACACGCTGACACCGTTGATAATTGGAAAAACTAAAAGTACAATCACAATAATCTGAAATTTTAATTTGTTAAGTAAAATGGATGACTTACCAATATGAAGAAGACTGTGGAGAGGATAGACTTAAATACAAAAACCAAAGCACTCAAAGCCACAAAAGTTACTGCAATCCTTGCTATCGGTCTCGGTACAGAATTCTGGCATCGGCAAAAACAAGAAAAGGAAATAAAAACATGAAAAACTAGACGGTATTCTAGTATGTGTGTATTTGTAACGAATTTGACGACAACAGCTAGATAAATCAAATGATTATTCAAAAATGGGAAAGGCAGTTAACAGCAGGCTGCTCAATTTCCACTAAACTAGTGTTATAGCCGCTATTTGACAACACTTGATACAAAATCCCGTATTGCGGGATAATAATAGTTTGTTAAAATTTCACTATGACGTAGCACTATAGCTGTTATTTGACAACACTGGAAAAAAAGGTAATTCTAACTTACCGGGACAAGATTTGTGCCTGCATCGATTCCATCCTTACCAACTCTCCATACATTCTGCAGAACTATCTCGTAACCACAAAGATAATCGAAATGGAGCAATAGTTAGGGTTTCTGGATAACCAAAATAGCTGAAAAGAGAGCTAAGAAAAATAAAACTGTCAGCTCTTCAAAAATTAAATGTTCCAATCCAATTCTGAAAGGCATACCAATAACCTATGAAGCACGGACACAAACACAAACACCAGAAACGACACTGACACGTCGATACTAATAATAATTTGAAAAAATAAATAAATTGAACGTTATTTCAAGTGTCAGAGGTGCCGGTGCTACAAATGTAGTAGTACCTTAAATCACTTATTGTTACGGATGTCTACAAGTGTTGTGTCTGGTAGGTGTATCGGTGATTCGTTAAACTTATGACACAATAGGATAGCATAATATATTTAAAGATTATAGTTTCTTAACAATTTAACACCAAACTACCCTTCAACCTATGAAGCACGGACATGACGACACCGGTAATAATTTGAAAAAATAAATAAATAAATTCAACATAATCACAAAGTCAGCGCAGATATCCCACCCCGACAAGAAAGAGCCATTTTTCAGAGGTGTCCATGCTACATAGCCTTCAACATTTTAATACACCTTACATCAATATAATCATAGTTTCCTCATTTTTATCCAACAATTTTCAATTCAACTATCCATAAAACGTGCTGCAAACATAAAAATCAAAACTAGAACTTGCAACAGAAACAAACAACCACAAGGTATTAAACAATAACCCATTAACAAAACTTAACATCTACATAGCTGAATTCTAACTAACCAATGTAAGAGAAAAACCTAAATCCAAAATAAAAGTGGGGCTAACCTTTAGAAAAATTGGACTGTGCTGCAAAAACTACAAAATTGGAGTGAGGTTTGTAGCTTGTGGAGAGGTTGAATTGAGATTTTGAGAGGAAAGTTTGATTTTTTAACTTCAAAAGAGAATTTATCGAAGGAAATTGATGATGGGCCGGTCGATTTTGATGGCGACTTGGAAAGAAAGGGGTAACAGAACTAAAGTTAACAACAAAACCATTAGCGAACATTATATATATGTAAAATTGAATGTGCAAAAAACTTAGGATAGGTTGAAACAAAGAGATGGAACAATTTGGTTTTGATTGGTTTCAGGTAGACATGTATTTTGAAAGAAGTGAAGTATAAATGAACATGTTGAAGAAGACAAAAGGGCACGTAGTTTTTCTTAGCCTCGCAATAGTGGGCTCCAAGTTCTTGGGCCCTTGAGTTGGTTTTGTAGGAGAATTTGTCCATGGCATGATAAAAACAGAATTTCTTTTTGCACCTATGTATTTCTTGCGCATTATGTGATTTCTTAAATATGTCATCTATTTTCGAAGATATATCTTTGAACGTTAAAATATTTCGAAAATATATTTCCAGAATATTTTGGGAGTTAATACTGCGTCAAACTCTTCTCCTTCCACACTTTTCATTTTCATTCAAACACAACTCTTCCATTCTCTCCTTCTCAATAATCTTCAACTTCACCAAATCATATTCCAACAATAGGAGACTCAAGGAAACATCAAGCATAATCCATTTCATCATTCAACATCTTGCAATCATAAATTTCAAGTAAGTTTTTCGAGTTTTCGGTAAATATTCGAGTTTTGTGGTAAACGAGTTAGAATCATTTGTTAGGTGTAGAAATGTTTAGAAATCACATGAAATATAGTTTAGAATAATTGTATGCATTGTTTGTTGGCTGAAATGGACGATCAGGTTGTTATTTTTCACAATCCAAGTAGCAGAGGACGCCATTGTCGCGACCTGTACCTCCAAAAAACTTCAAAGTTTCATATTAAATTCTGGAGATACACCACCGGAATAGTGTAAGTATTTCTGTAGTTATATCTCCGAAATTTCCTCGGTATGTTTTTTTTATAGTTTTCTTGTTTGTGGTGTTCTTTTGCATAAACTAATATATGCCTAATTTTACCTTGCAGCCATAATTGGTGACAGAGTTGACAGACTGAAATATGGACGGGTTTTCCAGCACGTGTAACACCCCGTTCCCCAAAATAAAAAAACAATTAAAATCAACAATTATCAGAGTTTTCCCCTCAAAAACGGGATGTCACATTTCACCAAAATTTCACCAAACATTTCTTAAATGATTTTCCAATAAAATTGCAGCGGAAAAAGAAGTCTTTCATAAACACATAATATGTATATATACGTCATCAACATCATCATATGTACAACAAGTCGGCCATCTGCCCAAAATGTACAAAACATCATCATCATATTCAACACAACAAGATACGCCACAGGGGCACACAAAATCATCAATAAACATGAAAACTCTCAAAAGCCCCGGTTTTACGTATCAGAGCAATCCCTACGATATCGCCATAATCCAAGCTAGCTAAACATCTGGATTGTCTGTACTTCCGAAGAAGCACAAACCACAACAATAACAGAGGGGTGAGAAATCACGATCAAATATAAAGCGGTAATCATGTACATGAAATAAAAGGCAGAAACATATAACATCATTTCATATACATAGCATCCGGACCTACTGTCCCATTAGGGGTGTTCATGGGTGCGGGTCGACCCGCAAACCCGCATACCTAAACCGAACCAACCCACTAATTACTCGGACCCATTCATTTACGGGTATACCCGACCCAACCCGTAACAACCCGTATAGATTTGGTTCGGGTATTAGGTTTTAGTTTCTAAACCCATGAACCCGTTGACCCAACCCGTTGACGTGGCATAATTAATTATTATTATTATTATTATATTATTATTTATAAATTTTAAAGTTGTTATAACTTTGTAAATTGTAACGTACACAAAGATCTTTTGCACTTTCCTTCCAGTTTCCAATCACACATTAAATTATTATTATTATTATTAATATTAATTATGAATTTTATGGAAATGATATTTTATGGAATTTTATATATTATTAAGTGTTAATATATATGATAGTTTACGGACCTACTTTTAAGCATGTGCTAGAAAAGGTAACATTTGAGTATCAAAACAACTAATATATACTGTATATTATTATATATTTGTTTTACATATGTTGATATATATTTGTAATGGATAACATTTGAGTATCAAAATAACTAATAAATTTTTATAAATTAAGGTATATTAATGAAAATATATAAATAATTAATGGTGTATATGTATCTTAATATTTTTTATGACAAAGAAAATACATTTCAAAATTTTAATTGTTATATTTTTAATTATTCTATTTTATATGTAGGATTTGTCTCCACTACGTAAATAATTTAATTGTTTGAAATATGCAAAATTATATTGAATTGTGTTATAGATTTTTTAAATTGAAAATAATAATTATTATATACACAACCCGTGGACCCAACCCGTAAATATCCGGGTTGATTCGGGTCGGTTTTTAAAGTAGAATTACGGGTTTGATGATAAACCCAACCCATTGAAAGTTGAACGGGTTGGGTAACGGGTTAAGGAGAACCAAATCCAACCCAACCCGCGTACACCCCTATGTCCCATCATTAATCAGAGCATACAATCAATGCAACAATTGCACACATGCAACACAACCCATGATATACGGTACCGACTCACAACACCGATGGGCACCGTGTAACAACCCTATTTTTCATTAATTAATTATTTGCATTAATTAATAGGTTAATGAGAATTATTTAATTGATGGGTAATTAATTAAATGAATTATTAGATGTTGGAGAGAATTAGAAGAGAAAGACATATTAAAGAGGAGAGTGGAAAGAAAAGGAAAAGATAGAAACAAAAAGGAAAGAATAGAGAAAGAAGGAGAAAGAGGAGAAAAGAGAAGAAGAAGAGGGAAGAACTTGGAATCATCAAGAACAACTCTCAAGCTTTGGATTAATCAAGGTAAGGGTGTGAAATACCATCATCTTAACAATGTGTATGAACATGTATGCTTGGGTTAGAGTATTGGATGTTTTTCTACAACCTCCATTTTAGGGCATAAGAGGATTAATCGGTAGAATATGAGTTTTCACGGTGGAAAATGAGAATAAGTGGTAGAATTTAGTCGGGAGGATGTTAGACTAAGGTTACGGAACTTGTTCGGTGAGAATCGGTTGGTTTTGGAGAGTTTGGTGGGAGTTGGACAGTAAGAAATTCTGAGTTCGCAGACATTCGCTAGCGTGTTCGTTGAGCGAGCTGGTAGCGAATGTTCGCTAAGTGAGCTAGTAGAGAGCCAGTAGAGAACGGTCCCAAACTTGGACAAAATGCATTCTGTGGTGTTCGCTAGTAGCGAACGAAGTCAGAAGCTTCTATTTGCCTTCGCGAGCTTGTTCGCTAGGCGAACAAGTAGCGAATACTCGCTAGTAGCTCGCTGAGCGAGCAGAGTAGCGAACATGACAGGATGTGTTTTTATTTAATGTTTCCATCCGAGGTCGGATTTTCGACTTAACTTTGATTATTTCCATGCTCGAGGCGTCGATTATGCCGAGATGTATTATACTGCGGGTAGCCTTATGGCGTGAATCCTAGATTGTTGAATTAATTGAATTATAGTCTTTTGACGAATGTTATACATTGTTTAGTGTGATTAAAAATGTATTGAGAATGCATGAGAATATATTGTGTATATGTGAGCATTATTTTGTTAATATATTGATGATATGTATGAATATGTTGTGTGTGCAATCATTGTTATAATTCTTGAAGAGATGAATTATTTGAATGCATGAGATTAAGATGTCGGTCTTAAGTGCATTGAATTGTTGATTGCATATGCATCATTTAGTCAAGAGGCAATGCTTGCTAGTTTCGTGGAGACTAGTGACTTGTCCCAAGCCTAGAAGAGTTGGTTTGAAAGCTTAGAGGACGGGCTTTTGGTGGTTATCGGTCTAGAAGAGTGGACTCGGTTTAATGTAAACCGAAAAAAGATAACAAGTGTTGGTACCACATGGCATAAGTTTGCATTGAGTCGTATTGAGTCACATAGCATGAATGTCATTATTATATGAAATATGATTACGTGTGGACTATGTATATGAGTTAAAATGGATTGTGGTGAGAAATGTAATGTATGTATGTTTTATGTTATGTATGTATATATAATTATATGCATTGATTATTATGATAATATTTCTCACCCTTCTGCTGTTTTATAATGCTCTATGAGGCATTGCAGATTAGGATTGCTGGAGGTTTTCTTTTGGTGAAGTATAGCTTCATTCTTTTGAGTTGGTTGCTCTGATATGTAACATCGGGTAGCTAGGCTTGTAGAGTATTCTTTTGTGATACATTGTATATGTATCAGCTGATGATGTTTGTAAAATATGAATGATACTATGAACAACTTGATGATGCGTACTTCTATTATATCATGTCTTAAGTAATTCAATGTTCTAGTCTTCCGTTTTAATCAAAACATTAATATGTAGACTCTAAGAGTTATGCTTTACTTTTAGTTGAGATTTACCCCTTTTGTTTTATCTCTTTATGAACATTATTATTATGTTGTCGTTTCGTGAATAATGTGATGCGCCTCTTTATACCATGTTATAAATTTACTCTGATGGATTTTGTATATGTGATTAAGTGTTTAATTGCATTGTTTTGGGGGTATAGAAGGGGGTGTTACATTAAGTGGTACCAGAGCAGGTCGGCCAGTTGGCCAAGTTGTTAACTTGTTTATTCCCTTTGTATATCTGATTGTGTGTGACACTATCGATATTGTTTGACCTTGTGAGTTCTGTTGTTGAGATACAGAACAATGGTGGCTGGTAGGAACGACGAGGCGATTGCGGAGGCTTTGACTAGATTGGTTGGAGCGATCAAGCAAAACCCTCAAACCAATTTGAATGTTAGGAATCAAGCAGATGATGAATTCCGTGCTTTAGGAAGGTACCAAAGGAATAATCCGCCAGTGTTCAAAGGAACCCATGAGCCTGACAAAGCACAGGTTTGGTTGAAGGCTATAGAAAAGATCTTCCGAGTTGTGAATTGTTCGGATGCTCAGAAGGTGCAGTTTGGCACCCATATGCTGGAGGAGGAAGCGGAGGATTGATGGGGT